CGAAAGACATGAGTGGAAAGTATAGATTTGAATTCATTGTTTGAAATAATTATTGGTGTCAAGACAAGTTGTTAAGTATCAGGCGAAGAATGCATTTGTCTTAAACTAAAGCAATAGTACATCACATGTAACGTTATTTACTTGTTACATATTGTATACGGTAAAACCATGCTGGCTTTCCTTTTTAACATTAAAGAAACATTAACAGCTCTGTTATATGATTTGATAGGGGGGTGGGGGGGAGTAATCTGTAACATGATATCCAATACTAATGTGTATTACCCGTAATTTTCTAATATATATGATTTACAATACTATTGTGTATTATCTGTATTAACTTTTGTGCATGATTCGATATACATATTGTACAACTATTCTTTTAACCTTATTAAAATTTCAATTGCCCAAATCAAACTTATTTTGTCTACAAACACCGTCGGATCAGACGCTGTTATTCTTTTGTAACCAACATGCCTTGTCAATCTTTCATTGCAAGTGAGATATTTTAACATCAGTGTTTATGACAGCGTCCGTCCGTTAATTGTGGTTTCATCTGATTATTTAAGTTTGATTATTAAATATAAAACTGATGTGATATGATTTGATATTATGGTGTGATGGCAGTACTATACCTGTACACTCAGGATCTCCTCTAACCAAACATTAAACTGACGTGAGTTGATGATATGGTATGATGACAGTACTATACCTGTACACTCAGGTACTCCTCTGACCCAACATTAAACTGACGTGAGTTGATGATATGGTATGATGACAGTACTATACCTGTACACTCAGGTACTCCTCTGACCCAACATAAAACTGATGTGAGTTGATGTTATGGTATGATGACAGTACTATACCTGTACATACAAGTACTCCTCTGACCAAACATAAAACTGACGTGAGTTGATGTTATGTTATGATGACAGTACTATACCTGTACATACAAGTACTCCTCTGACCAAACATTAAACTGTTGTGAGTTGATATTATGGTATGATGACAGTATTATACCTGTACATACAAGTACTCCTCTGCCCAAACATTAAACTGACGTGAGTTGATAATATGGTATCATGACAGTACTATACCTGTACACTCAGGTACTCCTCTGACCCAACATTAAACTGACGTGAGTTGATGATATGTTATGATGACAGTACTATACCTGTACATACAAGTACTCCTCTGACCAAACATTAAACTGTTGTGAGTTGATATTATGGTATGATGACAGTATTATACCTGTACATACAAGTACTCCTCTGCCCAAACATTAAACTGACGTGAGTTGATGATATGGTATGATGACAGTACTATACCTGTACACTCAGGTACTCCTGTGACCAAACATTAAACTGACGTGAGTTGATGATATGGGATGATGACAGTACTATACTTGTACATACAAGTCCTCCTCTGACCAAACATTAAACTGACATGAGTTGATATTATGGTATGCTGACAGTACTATACCTGTACACTCAGGTACTCCTCTGACCAAACATAAAACTGATGTGAGATGTGATACTGGTATGATGACAGTATTATACCTGTTCATACAAGTACTCCTCTGCCCAAACATTCAACTGACGTGAGTTGATGATATGGTATGATGACAGTACTATACCTGTACATACAAGTACTCCTCTGACCAAACATTAAACTGACGTGCGTTGATGTTATGTTATGACGACAGTACTATACCTGTACATACAAGTACTCCTCTGACCAAACATTAAACTGACGTGAGTTGATGTTATGGTATGATGACAGTACTATACCTGTACATACAAGTACTCCTCTGACTAAACATTAAACTGACGTGCGTTGATGTTATGTTATGATGACAGTACTATACCTGTACATACAAGTACTCCTCTGACTAAACATTAAACTGACGTGCGTTGATGTTATGTTATGACGACAGTACTATACCTGTACATACAAGTACTCCTCTGACTAAACATTAAACTGACGTGCGTTGATGTTATGTTATGATGACAGTACTATACCTGTACATACAAGTACTCCTCTGACTAAACATTAAACTGACGTGCGTTGATGTTATGTTATGACGACAGTACTATACCTGTACATACAAGTACTCCTCTGACTAAACATTAAACTGACGTGCGTTGATGTTATGTTATGACGACAGTACTATACCTGTACATACAAGTACTCCTCTGACCAAACATTAAACTAACGTGAGTTGATGATACGGTATGATGACAGTACTATACCTGTACACTCGGGTACTCCTCTGACCCAACATAAAACTGACGTGAGTTGATGATATTGTATGATGACAGTACTATACTTGTACATACAAGTACTCCTCTGACCAAACATTAAACTAACGGGAGTTGATGATATGGTATGATGACAGTACTATACCTGTACATACAAGTACTCCTCTGACCAAACATAAAACTGACGTGAGTTGATGTTATGTTATGATGACAGTACTATACCTGTACATACAAGTACTCCTCTGACCCAACATAAAACTGATGTGAGTTGATGTTATGGTATGATGACAGTACTATACCTGTACACTCGGGTACTCCTCTGACCCAACATAAAACTGACGTGAGTTGATGTTATGGTATGATGACAGTACTATACCTGTACACTCAGGTACTCTTCTGACCCAACATAAAACTGACGTGAGTTGATGGTATGGTATGATGACAGTACTATACCTGTACACTCAGATACTCCTCTGACCCAACATAAAACTGATATGAGTTGATGTTATGGTATGATGACAGTACTATACCTGTACACTCAGATACTCCTCTGACCCAACATAAAACTGATATGAGTTGATGTTATGGTATGATGACAGTACTATACCTGTACATACAAGTACTCCTCTGACCAAACATAAAATGGTATGATGACAGTACTATACCTGTACACTCGGGTACTCCTCTGACCCAACATAAAACTGACGTGAGTTGATGATATGGTATGATGACAGTACTATACCTGTTCACTCAGGTACTCCTCTGACCAAACATAAAACTGATGTTTAATGTGATACTATTATGGTATGATGACAGTACTATACCTGTACACTCAGGTACTCCTCTGACCAAACATAAAACTGATGTGAGATGTGATACTATTATGGTATGATGACAGTACTATACCTGTACACTCAGGTACTCCTCTGACCCAACATAAAACTGACGTGAGTTGATGATATGGTATGATGACAGTACTATACTTGTACATACAAGTACTCCTCTGACCAAACATAAAATGGTATGGTGACAGCACTATACCTGTACACTCAGGTACTCTTCTGACCCAGCTTAGATTACACAGACTACAAATAATAGCCGGACCTATGTAAACGTTCTATCAGTATTTTCTCTAATTAGGTACCGGTACAATATCAAAATCATCCTTTCACACAAGCTGACTCGGGCTATGTCATGGTCCGTGTCACACTTAAAGTTAAGAGAAGTATTTGATATTGACATTTTTGACATTCCTGAATTTATTTTCAATTTTCATTCCTTTCATTTTTTTTCCAAAGAAAAGATATCAAACTTTAAAATAATTTTGATTAAAAAAATACCAGTAGTATTCGCTATTTGAATGCAATGTGCTTTAGCCTCAGTTGGAGATCTTTGTGAACGGAAGTCGACCTCTTTGTCTTTGAAAGTAATAAGAAGAGTTACATGACCTACTTGCTAACAAAACCTATTTAACCTGATTATATTTATCTAACACGGGTATGCTGGATATTGACTACCTTGGTCCGAATTCAAAAAGTTTACAATTGCCCGATTTGTACCTAGGTGTGAACCCTACCAATATAACTCTGTTAAAGTGTTTTTTCTTCTCTTCGTTGTCATTGCAAAACAGTCTATCCTCTGTCAGATTTCACAGTTTGTTATCACTCTAGCAATTTATCACGTATATACTTATCAAAATGGGCTATATTACAACAGGCCAGTGTAAACCGTGGGGACCAGGACCACACAATACTATCATAAACACTGTACATACAGGGTTTCTGTTAATGATGAGCTGAGGTAAATACTTTGATACAGAGCGACATGTGTTAAGTGTCTGGTACCGTGGACAACGTGTAGTATAAACACACACATGGAGGACATGTACCAACAACATTATACAAACTTATTTTGTGACATCCCACTGTGAAACCTAACAGATAAGTTAGCAATAAAACGGATAAATATTGTACAATGTAATAAGTATTTGTTTTCTTTTCGGTCGTTCAAAGAAATACATATTCCATATATTATTCGCGTCTACTACACACTTGCAAAATATCGCGTTGAAAAGGTCTTTTTAGATGACCTTTTTGACGATTTATTTAGCAACTATTCGTAGATGTTTAGTATCAGTGATATGTCAGTATCAGTGATATGTCAGTATTAGTGATATGTCAGTATTAGTGATCTGTCAGTATCAGTAATATGTCAGTATCAGTGATATGTCAGTATTAGTGATCTGACATCTATTAAGATATGTAAACAGTAAAGGTTGTCTTCAGATCCGTCAGAAACGCGATTATAGAAAATGAGTACGCTAATGTACTAATGTTTCATGCTGTTATAGATTTATAACTCTTTATACAATTGTTTGGAAGATTGTAGTTATTTCTGTTTCTAACTATATATATATATACTTAAGTAAAAAGGGATATATCTATCTTGCTGTCGGTCCTTCTTATTGCAATATCATATCTCATATGATTTGTCTACCAACAAAAAAGTACTTTCTTCTATTATCAGTTTATTAAACCGTAATTTATATAAACTACACAAATCTTTCTATTTTTCATTATAATTAAAGCCTGATTTATGAAACAAAACAAAACTTTCTTTATCTTTAGTTTATTCTGACATATAATGTATAAACTACACAAACCTTCCCTTATTTTAGTATATTTTAACACTTACTTTGCATAAACTACACAAACCTTCCTTTATTTTCAGTACGGCCAGATCCACGTCTGTGTTCGGGAACTAGTTCTGGAGAAATTTAACCAAGAAGCATGGGACAAAATAATGTAAGCAAACATCTTACTTCTTAATTTCAGAGATAAGGTGAAGGCTGAAATTCTACAAAATTATATATACAGAATATTCTATACTTGAGATAATTTATAGTTGTTTATAAAGGATATTCTATAGTTTTTTCGGGTGGCCGGGTGGCGCATAGTATAGCACACTTGCCTTTCACCAAGGAGACCGGGGTTCGATTCCCCGATTGGACGTGAAAAGGCCTAGTATGGGGGTCACCTGCCCGACCACGTAGGTTTTCTTCGGGTACTCCGGTTTCCTCCCATGATGAGACCCCCGTGCACTAACATACGGGCCAACAAGAGTGATTTATATAAGCTGTAAAATCTTGTTCTATTGTTGTTAAATCTATAGTTATTTCTGTACGATATTTTATTGTTGTTGATATAGAATATTCTATAACTATTTTTACATATATGATACTCTATATTTATCTCTATTATTTATTTTATAGCTGTTTATATATGCTATTATTTATTTATCTCTATAAGATAGTTTATACTTATTTATAAAGGATATTCTATATTTTTTTTCTTTAAGATATTTTATAATTGTCTATTTAGGATATTCTATTGTTATTTCTCTTTGCTTCTAAATCAAAGCAAGAGGATTGGGCACAAGTAACGACAACTTATAAAAGCCCTTTTCTCAACAAATGTACTTTAATAATTTGATACCGACAATAGACATACATGTACATTTTGATACCATAAAACGAAAGAGAAGGGAAATCAAAATCACAAGGATATCATATGATATTTCTTATCATATATAACAATATAATGTATGGTAATGTATAATATGCCTGGCACATACTACCTACACACTCCGGCTACTTCCTCTATTAAAATTGTCCATGTAAAGGCTCATTCCTAATACCCTTGCTCTGTTGTACATTAAAGCTCCTTCTAGGTATTGTTTCATTGCGCCAGGCAGAAAAGAAATAGATAAGTTTTTGTTCATACTACAATAATCACCATGGTGGTCCAGAAATGGCAGATAGTATTAGGCAGGTTATATAGAAAGACAAGGAATGAAAGACTAGACTATAGGATAAGTTCATCTGTTCTTTAAGACTACATTTAAAATCTATTACTTGCACGAACCATTTAAAAAAAGTTTGGTTTTATCTAAGTTTAGATCAATATTTTCATGCAAAAGCATATCTAGATGTAATGGATGATACCGACGCAACGTAAACAACATATCATGTCTTATGTCACTATAAAGTAGACATTCCATGGTATGAGTTTTCACAGGGGTACCTACAAGCTCCCGATGGGGAATCAGTTAAACTTACACGATAAAGATCCTATTTAGGGCACTATAGTTGGGTCATAGTTTAGTAAGTAAAACATTAAGGTGACGAGGTCCGTAGTTAAACTAGAGCGGAAGTTTCTTGCGATCTTTATGTAGTTTGTTTTTAAAAGTATTCAGAGATGAATGGCTCCTGACAGTTACCGAGAGGCTAAATCTAGCACTTGTAGACTATAATTAGGAATAAGGTAATTGTTATTATTTCTCAATGAGTAGGGGTTTCCTTCTCCGACTAAACCAGGCAATAATGTATAATAATGTATGATGGTGCCAGTTTGTTATGCATTTTTAAAATAAGTAATTTTTTCTCCTTTCTCTTCTACTCATTAAAGGTTGTTTACTAGCATACCTAGCTAATCCTGTTACAACTCTAGCTGTTTCTAGTTGAAGCTCCTCTAGTAAACCGATATGAAATTTAGAACAATCGCTCCAAAGTTTACAAGCAAATTCCAATGTTGGAAGTATGAAACATAAATACATTTTCTAAGTACTTTTCTATTTACAATGTTTTTTTAAGTTTTTCAAAACATTTACCTTTTTCACGCTGACTGATATAATTTTTCTATATGGTCACCCCACTTATCATTAGAGCTGAGAGTCGCACCCAAATGCCTATGGTTTTCAAAAAATCGCAGAATTGTCTCAATAAAAATACAGTTCAAAACCATAATCATGTGTTATGTCTCAGATAAATAATACTTTGGTTTTGTTAATAACTTGCCATTGCTTTGACCAATCGTCTATGCATTTCAGGTCATGATTAATTACACGTTCCGATTCTATACAAGGAGAAGTAATTTTATTGTTATTAATAAAGGCTATTCTATATCTATCTCTATACGTTAATACATAATTGTTTATATAGGATATTCTTAATTTATCCCTTTAAAATATTTTATTGTTTTTTATATAGGATATTCAATATTTATCTCTATAAGATATTTTATAGTAGTTTATATAGGATATTCTTTATTTATCTCTATAAGATATGCTAAAGTTGTTTATATAGGATATTCAATAATTTTCTTTGTAAGATATATTATAGTTGTTTATATAGGATATTCTATATTAATCTCTATCAGATATGTTATAGTTGTTTATATAGGAT